TACCATATCCCTACCTTTTTTGATTGCTTATATATAGGATATGTGTGTGTGAAACTAATCGATTAATTTAATTCAATTGATTACTGAGCCTATCAATTAGCAAAAACTACTACTTGCCCAGCTCTTGCATGTATTACATCTTTTGTAATGAATTTAACCATGTTGTTGACATTCATACAGCATTTTTCATGTTATTTTTGGTTTGAAAGCTGCACACTTGCCATATATATATTAATTTGTAAAGCTTAAGGTCTGAAGTTTGAATTTTAGTAAACCATAATGTCAAATGGTAGTGTAAGACATTGTAGACATAGAAAAAAGTTTGAAGGTTTACTTTTGTGTTGTGTAGATATATATGTAATAAGCATGTGCTCATTATATGTATATAACTGTGAAATAAGTGTTGTTGCATGTACACAGTATACTATTATGAGCCTATTTATAAATACAGAAGTGAGCTTAGTGGTTAAAAGGTAATTCAAGCTCACTCATGTCTCCAATATTTACATCATTCAACACAAAAACAAGTTGAAGTGGATGCTGTTTTTACTTACTCAGGTTGTTAGAGATGTATAGACTGAGTGCCTCTATTAGTATATGTAAAACTTTTTGGAAATTTATATCTCTGTGAAAGTATGGAAATATTTTTTTTATTTAGATTTCACATGTGTCAGCCTTTGATAAACTTGCATTAGATAAGTTTTACATTCATGCATCACTTCAAAGGTTTTAAACTTTTGTAAGTTGACACGATTCACATGGTCACAAGATTTTTGTTAGTTAATAGTTCATTTTTTGATTAACAGAAACTAGAAAGACTACTGGACTATTAGCTTGTATCGTTTACATGCATCTCATCCTTCTAAGGTTGAATTTTCTTAGCTTATTAAATTACATACAGTAAATGATTGGGAAATACCTAATTGCATTAAAAGTATTTGTCAAAGGCAGCAATCACTTGATATCTTAGTTTTAAACACTTGCTTATAATATTGAACTTGTTATTCAGATTACAAACTTTTCTATCTGTTGAAGATGATTTATACAATCTTGTAAATTAGTGGAAAATCAAGTACTAACAAGAGGGAATCTGCAATAGCCACAGCACTTGAAATTCTTTTAGGCAGAATTAGAGTAAATTAATCTATGAGACTTTTTTTTGTTTTCTTAGCTATATTTTTGTGCACCAGCAATACCAAGCATCAGTATACCTGATTTGATTTTATTGATCATCAGGATCTCTATCAGCCTACCCTTAAATTGAAATTCTTTTAGGCAGGATTAGAGTAAATTAATCTATAAGACCTTGGCATGGTCAAATACTTTAATCGAAAGGGTTTGACCTCTTGAGTTCAAAACTGTAGTTAGGTCTCAAATCAGTCAAAAAATGATGGAGCTATGAGCTAAAAGTTTGTACTTGGAAAACTCAGAGTCATTCTATGTGCTGCTATGCCATGGCTAAAAATTGAGACTTGTGAGTGCTGTGCTTTAATGCATGCAAAGGTTTGAAAATGTAAATGGACTATACTGTAGTCACAATATATGTATATCTTAATTTAAAGTCATTTACTTTAAATTTGGTGTATCTTCTTTATCTATAAATACACAAAATTCAGTTTTTATATAGGAGTATTCTTTAGCATAATTTGCTTAAATTTGTCAAATTTATAATAACTGAATTGAATACTGTCAATGAAATTACAAGTCTTTGAACACTGTCAAAACGTAATTGATAATTAATATCAGTTCATACTAACAAGTAAACATTTCTATGTAAATGATTTATACGGTATAAATGTGCAGCCTTTTCACAAATTATTTTACTAGTCACCACACAAAATGAGGTCATTACCTGACACTTGTGCACTCTTAACTTTTACTAAACTGTGTGTATTAATTAACAGAAAAATTGCTTATTGAAAAAATCCTTAAATTACTTCTGTACATAAATGTTATCACCATCTAGGTGAATATTGTTTACTTTTCTGTAGTTTGTCCTATACTTTTGTTGCAATCTCCTTTAACCCTTTCGAGATAGGTCACAGGTGAAAGGCCATGTCATCTTGTTTGTTGACTCGCATTTAAAATTTTATTGAACTACTATTTCATGAATTTATGTCAATAAGTTTAGTATCAAACTGTAGATTATAATTCAAATTTTAGAACTATACATTACTCAATTTGTTAATTTAAAAACAAATATTAAAAAACACAGATATACATTGATTTTTGTGTGTGTCACGTGGTGTATTGAATGCAGCACTGGTTCAAATTAGAATTAGAAACTCAAATTACAGATATTGATAAGCTAGAATATAAACTGAGAATGTCTTATCTTTTCTATTTACTAAGATATTGCTCACTTAATAAATCTAACACAGTGGCACCCCACTCACCTTATTTCATTTTTGGAAATGCTCCCTTATATACAGTTACTTCTATATATATGACATGAATAACCAATTGGAAGCTCAGAATGTCTCCCTAGTGGTTTTCTCAGCCTTTCTAATGTTCTTTCCGCTACTTCTTTCTTTCTAACCAAGATTTCAATGAGGTAGATTGTGTCTTTAGTCTGCTCAAAAGTTCATATTTTTTTAGACCCAAATACAGCTTATTTACTAAGTTTGATAAATTATAATGGAATTCTGTGGTATTAATGTAGTAACATATGAATTTTTAGTTATTCAAAAGCATATGTAAAAACCTAAAAAAAAAAGAATACATTTTGTTTCATATCCTTCACATGCAAAATTTGTAAAGGCTTAGCAACCTACGTCAAGCAGCAACCGAGTACAACGGTCGTAACTAGAAGAGATAATTGTTTGCTTTACTTCTTTATTTACTGTTCTACATTTTAAGAAAAATAAGTTGAAGAACTTATTTCTAAATAGCAATAATCTGTATACATATATAATGTATAATAATTGAAATGTGAACTTAATGTTATTTGATATGGTAACATGAGTGCATGTGAACCGTGTCATTGTGACTTCTGTATTGTTAGCTAGGCATGGGTGAAAGGTTAATATAATAAAAATAATAAATATATATATATAAATATATAATGTTATGAGATTTAAGCTATTTCATCTAAACATTTATGTTTTGGTGTTGTAATTTGTGTTCATTCTAG